TCTCAGCAAAGCTTTGGATAATCTCCTGGCACCTGTGTTTGCTGCTCTTCCACCCCATTGCACTGCTTAGACTGAGGCCAAAGGCTAGATCCTGAAAGTGTGTTTGTGGCAATGGTCCTGCTTGTGTGAGGGAGAGTCTTAGCACAAGACAGGCAAAGGTTTTGTCAGGATCTGCCCTTGGAAGTGCCACCTATGAGGAAATGACACCAGTGTCATCATATTTTACATTCCTTTGGAGCCTATTATTTTCTTTTACAAGTACTGTGCTAGTTGACATTATTTGTTATGGCAGAAATCATACCCATGCATTATGCTGCCTTGCTTGAGGAAATGGTGCGAAGTATAGGCAACTGTCTCTGGGAAACCAGGAGAAAAGTAATATCTAGGATGATTTTGGAAAGACTTGGGAAAGGTTTATCAGATGTAGATATCAGCTACTGAAGGCTCTACATCAGCCTGTGTGTGCTCTGGAGAGATTTTTATTGTGGTTTCACAACACAAGCAAGCGGGGATGTTTTTGGTACTATGTAGATACCACTGCGGATGCAATGGAGTCTTATTGCTGCTGAGGCCTCTGTATTTGACTAAGATATGAACTCCAGTTAACAAGTGTCATGTTTGTAGGAATTCAGCATCTGCAGCTCAAGGAAAAAGAAAGAAATGTACAAAAAAAAAAAAAAGGGGTTGTGTGTGATAATTTGAGCATGTAGTGAACACTGTTGTAAAAGGAGATAATGTGGCTGGGCATGGGAAAGAAAAGAAAGAAGTCTACATTGATATATCTTACATCGATATATGTATCTTTCATCTCCTTAAAAATGAGCATTATTCATTTTAAAGGGTTAAAAACAACATCAGATTTCTTTCCTTCTTTGATTCTGTGATTCATGTGTCCCATTTTAAAGTCTACACCCTGTGAAGAGGAGTGCATTATCAAGGAAAGAGGCTTGCCAGGGACAGAAGGTAATTTCCCGTAGCAGGTGCGTACAGCAGGTGGTACACAGTGTACCTGCAACGAAAAGGTAGATTTAGGCTAAGATTTTATTTAATATGGAAAACTTATTGCATCCTGAGCCACTACTGGGGATGTGCCAAAAATCGTGTCTGCAGCATGATTTATTACGTGAAAATACCACCGAACTAATCAGTGGAGTTACTAATTAATACAAATCTGCATTTTTGCATAAGCAATTAGTGCAAAGAGAGTGCAATGAAAGAGGAAGTTTGACTCATTTAATCTCAGTGTCTATTCAAGCGGAAAGACCCACTAGGGCAAGGCACTAGGATCTACATTTGGAATTTTTTTCCTTTTGATTAGTTAAAGGAACTAAAAGGTCAAATTATCAATATTTAATTCAAATGGAAATGCATTTGTTCAAGAGGAAAGAAAACACTTTATTTAAACAAGGTAGGACTCTGGGGGTAAATGCCTGGATCAAAAATAATTAGATTTTGCAGTTATAACAGCATCTAAATCCCTTCTGATAAGAATCCTTTTTCCTAATAACAGAGGTGGTTTGACACCAATAGCGAAGACTGCTGACGCTGTTTAAACTGTAGCTCAGGCGGTAGCAGGCCTACCAATACAATTTAGACATTTGCTTTAATGGTACCTACTTCTCTGATTTGGTTTTTTTTAATCAATTTGAATTATATTTTAAATCTATTGTGATTTCATAATTGTGCGCACTTGACTAAAAGAGTAATTTTAAAGGCTGATAATTAAACCTTGGTGGTGATGTATTTTCCATTAACTAAATAGAAGTTTACATTTATAGAATTAAAACAACAGCATTTACCTAACGGGGAAGGCTCAATAAAATTAATACACTGAGTTTTAAGGGGGGAAAGAGCAGAAAAGGCACCTTAATCAGTCGTACCAATTTCGAGCCCAGCCGTACATTGTATCCTAGAGGGATGCTACTAAGTGCGCTGCAAATGCACCCGACACCGAACCGGTACCGGAGCGGCACTTCAAAGCTTTGTTTTCCCGGCGATTCCTGAGCCACGGCAGCTGGAGCAGGCTGGTCACAGCTTGGAGTGATCCTGGCAATGGGGCTGCCCTCTCCTCTCGTCCTATCCTCTCACCGCAGCGTTTGGAAATGGGCGAGCGGGGGAAAACCGCAGGCAAACCCAAGCCGGTCCTTCCCGAGTCCGAAGCCCGCGCAGAAGGGGCCTCCGGCCCCACAGTGCGATGCGGTGGGGTGGGACAGAGGGACAGGGACGGCAGGCAGGGACGTTTTCCCTTATCTTTTTTTTATTCAGGATAACCTTCGGAGTTTGTGTGGGTACCTCTCTGGAGAAGAGGGAGCGGGAAACATGATAGCGAAAGGAGAGAGCCCGAACAGCCCAGGCTACACGGGCAGTAAATCACTCGCTCAATTATAAGCGCGGCTTCCTCTCTCCAATAGCTCTAAGCTATTTGGGGAGGCATCCTTTCCCCGCACTCTCGCAGGTGCAATATGAATCAATTATCTTAATTAAGATAATGCCGCAAACCCAAGAGATTTCATCGTGAGTGGATTTCGCGCCCCGGACAACTGTAAGGCGTTTCCACCTTGCGCTGCTTCCCCCGCAAAAAAAACTCCCCCCCGCCCGGCCGGGACGGGGCTCAGCCCCGGCGGCGTCCCGCGGAGGGGCCGCGCTCGCTGCCACCTCCCGCCACACCGGACCCCAGCCGGGCCCGGGATCTCCTCCTGCCGGGGCCAGGAGGCAGCAGCTGAAGCAGGAGCGGGGGCGGCCGGGCCGGCCGGAGCTTTGTTGGGACGCGTGCGGTTCGCGTGCCGCGCCGCGGGAGGAGGGGGAAGGGGGAGAAGGAGAGGGGAGGGAGACAGGGAGGGAGGAAAGAAAGGAAAAAAAGAGAAGAAAAAGGAAAGAAAAAGAAAAGGAAAGGGGAAAAAATAAAGGGAAAAGAAAAAAGAAATGCAAAAGGAAAAATAAAAAAAAAAAAGGAAAGAAAACGGAAAAGAAAATCAAAGGATTCGGGAGGAAGAATAAGCAGAAGCCGAATTAGAGGCCAGATGGAGAAGGAGGAGTCTGTAGGTCAGGGAGAAAAAAAAAAAAAAAGACACGCTTGGAGCGATAAAATCAAGCGGCTGGGGGAAGAGGAGAGACAGGGAAGGTGGGAAACCGGAGCCATTGAGCCAGGCAAGGGACGGCCCAAGCAGAGAAGGCAGAGTTTGGGAGATCGGTAAGAAAAGCATTGCCGAAGCGGCGGAGCGGCAGAGAGCCCCGGTGCATCCGGAGAGCAGCGCCCGTCCTGTGCCCCGACGGGCCGCACAACAGTGCCTCGTTCCTCTCGGCCTGTCTCCTCCACGGCCACGCGTGTAACCGGCCGAAACGAGTCCCCCACGCCGGGCTTGGCGAATTTAAACCCCTCTATCCGACTGCCTGCCTTTTTATTTGTCTCTCTACTCATCTGTCTATCGACAACGTGTTGATTTTATTTTGCTCCCAGGGAAAATGACTCCGTTGGCCGTACTCAAAAGCACACGAGCATCCCAAAGCTCTCACCGCTCCCCGAGACCCAGCTTTCTACCAGTGCCATCCTCCCGGTACTTTTCTCTAGTGTTTCCCCAGCGTCCCACAATCCCGGGAGTATTCCCACTCAGTACCATTTAAAGACGGGTGACATTTTCCAGCAGCCGAGACAGGGATGGACCAGACCCATCCCTCTCCCGCGCCCTCCAAACCTGTTTGTACCTCACCGCTTCCAAAACGCGTCCCCACCCCAGCCGCTCCCCGTTAACGGGGTCGCGTTCTCGAGGGAGCAGCCGTCCCGGCGGGAGGCCCGGGCCAGCCGCCCCGGGCACAGGCATCCTCCCGGATCCCGACCCCGGGACCCCTCTATGGTCAGAGAAGGCTCGCCACGGGCAGGGGCTGCCCTTCGGTGGGACGGCTCTTCCCTCCCCGCCATGCCTCAGGGAAGGGCCGCAGCCGCCGATAACCCGAGGGCACCCCGCTCCAGCCCCGCTCTCCCGACCCGGCGATACACTCCACTCTGCTGGCCCTCGTTTCCCACGGAGAACCGGCCAGCTTGGAAATAACAAACCGCAGCCGGTTGCCCTCTGTATTTGATTACTTCCTCGGAGTCCCTTCCTGCCGCCCCGCCAGCCCTGGGCTATGTAGGTCACCAACAGGAGAAAAACATTTTAAAAATAACCCGACCTGGAAAAATATCTTCTGAAACCTTCTCCTTGGGGTGGAATTATTTGTTTCTCATTTAAAGCCTCAAGAGGTGAAAATTATTTTTATTGATTAAATATCCAGATAACGCGCGCCGGTAGCAAAGCTATCGTGCGAGGGGGTATCTCCCCCCTTAAAGTGCATCTCTGAGATTTGTTCAGCGTTTGCAAACTCCACCGAGGCGTTTAAAGACTTTAAAGCCACCACTCTTGGCGTCTTTCTTCCAAACTTCCCGTTGACCGGTGCATTCCCGTCGAAAAGCCGGGGAAAGCAAACCGGAGCTTGGTCCACGGGTGGGCACAGCAATCACGGGACGTCCGTTTTCCCCATCACCGGAGAAATCCGGGCACGGGGGTTAACTGGGGGTCTGTGGCTGCGAGGGAGCGGCAACGACTGGGACGGGGAGTCTCAGAGGCGCCCGTTAGGAGATGCTGAGGGCAGGCGTCGGGGACCCAGAACAATAGGAACAATGCGGCTCCGCGGGCCGGCGGCCCCTGGGTGGCGGGTGCGGTGCGGTGCGGAGCGGTGCGGTGCCACCCCGGTATCGCCGGCGGGTCCCGCGCGGTGACAGATGGCGCGGCCCGGCAGGTCACCGGGGGCGTGGCGGCTCCGCGGGCGGGCGCGGGCCCGCATACAAATCAGGGGCGTCACGTGGGGGGGGCGCCGCCGCCGCCGCCGCCGCCTGACGTGGGCGGCCATATGGCGCGTGCCACCGGGCGGGGCGGGGCGCGGGGCGGGGCGGTGGCGGCCGCCGCGGTACCCGGGTCCCGGTGCCGGCCCCCCGCCGCGCATCCTCGGCCCCGCTATATAACGGGGGGAGCCCGGCGCTGCGCAACCTCGGGGAAAAAAAAAAAACCCACCACACACACGAGCGGCGCCCTCGCACGGAGAGCTGTGCCGGGGTTATGAGACCGTCACCGCGAAGGAGAGGCTGAGCAACGGAGGTAACGGGAACCCGGGTTTTCGCCCCCCGCGGGAAAGGGGTTGGCGGCGACTGCCGGGGTGGGAGAGGGCCCTGCGAGGTCGAGGCGGACGGGATCTGCCTCTGCCGAAACGGCTTCGGTTTTTTATTGTCGCTTGCGATTGTTGCTGCCGGTGTGTGCGGGCACACCTGTATCCATCCCTACACGCACACATACATAAGTGTATACACATATATGGGTAAATGTGTATGTGCGCCCGTACACACATATAAATATATATGTGTGCGTGAATTTATACAGGAGCATATTACATGTGTTAATGTGCTTCCACCTATGCTGCTGCCTCCGAACTTCCAGCTCCCTTTCCTCCTCCGAGCGCGGTCGCCACGGTCCCACCGCAGGTTTGCGCCTCGGCGGGCGGGCGGCATTGTTTCTTCACGGTGTGCCCGATGCTACCGGTGAATGGTCGCAATTCCACACGAAATGTCCCCGTGGAAAGGGGGGGACGATGCCCGTCTGCAACGGAGGGGACGACGGAGACGGGAAACTGGGGCCAGTCTCGCACCTGTTACCACGGGTGGGGGCCGCGGGAACCCAGCGACAGTTCTGTGGCAGAAGGCGGGACCGGGGAGCAGGTGCTCGGCGCCCGCTGGGGCGGCACAAGCCCCGCGCAAGGAGGCGGCAAGGGGGAGCCGCGGAGAGCGGCGGGGACAAGCGTCACGGGTGGCCATCCGTCCCTGCGGGTGTGTGTGCGTGTGTCCGCCTTTCCCCCTGTCCTATTCCGTGAGAGTGTTTGACTTTTTTACCAAAACAAAACAAACCAACCCAATCTACGCTTGGTCCGCTCGCTTCGTGCCGCCCGAGCTACCTCCCTCACGCATAATCTGTTTATATTCCCCGCTAATATCGGCGAGTTACATAATAGCATTTGAACATATGTGAACTTAATTATAAGACAGGACCGCGGAGACAATTAAAAGTTTGCCCTGGCACGGTGGGGAATCTAAACTTCCCTCGGGAGGGGGCGGGGGGAGCGGAGCGGTGGGTCCGAGAGGATTCTCCCCGCGGGTGACCGGTCGGGGCCACGAGCGCTGCTCTGGGTGCTGACAAGTCTCTTTTCTGTCTCCTCCGCGATGCAGAGGCTCACCATGACCAAGTCGTACAGCGAGAGTGGGCTGATGGGTGAGCCCCAGCCGCAGGGCCCCCCGAGCTGGACGGACGAGTGCCTCAGCTCCCAGGACGAGGAGCACGAGGTGGACAAGAAGGAGGAGGATCTGGAGGGTCTACACGCCGAGGCTGAGGAGGACTCGCTGCGGAACGGTGAGGAGGAGGACGAGGAGGACGACTTGGATGAAGAGGAGGAGGAGGAAGAGGAGGAGGAAGACGACGACCAGAAGCCCAAGAGGCGGGGCCCCAAGAAGAAGAAGATGACCAAGGCACGCATGGAGCGATTCAAGCTGCGGCGCATGAAGGCCAATGCCCGGGAGCGCAACCGCATGCACGGGCTGAACGCGGCCCTGGACAACCTGCGCAAGGTGGTGCCCTGCTACTCCAAGACGCAGAAGCTCTCCAAGATCGAGACTCTGCGCCTGGCCAAGAACTACATCTGGGCACTCTCTGAGATCCTGCGCTCGGGCAAGAGCCCGGACCTGGTCTCCTTCGTGCAGACCCTCTGCAAGGGCCTGTCGCAGCCCACCACCAACCTGGTGGCCGGCTGCCTGCAGCTCAACCCGCGGACTTTCCTCCCCGAGCAGAGCCAGGAGGTGCCGCCGCACGTGGCGGCGGCGGCGGGCGCGCCCTTCCCGGCGCATCCCTACCCGTACCAGTCTCCGGGCCTGCCCAGCCCTCCCTACGGCACCATGGACAGCTCCCACCTCTTCCACCTCAAGCCGCCGCACGCCTACGGCGCCGCGCTGGAGCCCTTCTTCGAGAGCGGGCTGGCGGAGGGCGCCAGCCCCGCCTTCGACGGGCCGCTCAGCCCGCCCCTCAGCGTGAACGGCAACTTCTCCTTCAAGCACGAGCCGGCCGCCGACTTCGACAAGAGCTACGCCTTCTCCATGCACTACCCCGCCGCCGCCGCCGCGCTGGCCGCCGCGCCCGCCCACGCCGCCATCTTCCCGCCCGCCGCCTCCCGCTGCGAGATCCCGGTGGACGGGCTGGCGCCCTACGAGGGCCACCCGCACCACGAGCGCGTCCTCAGCGCCCAGCTCAACGCCATCTTCCACGACTGAGCCTCCCCGCGCCGAGCGAGGGCAGGGGGAGCGCCGAGCCCTGCCGCCCGACACCGCCTTGTTTACAGGGGGCAGCTCGGCGGGTCCCGCCGCCGCCTCCGGGGCCGCCGCGTTCCCCCCCCCCCCCCCCCCCCGCTCACCCGCTGTCTTTGCTTCCGCTCCTCCGAGCGACGCTGTAAATTGGGGTAGGGGCATTGGGATCGCGTCAATTACCTGATCGGAATAACAAAATCACAAGCAATAATTAGGATCTATGCAATTTTTAAACTAGCGATGGGCCAATTACAAAATATATATGAAATCTATATTTTTCAACCAACGTTTTACTACTTGTTACCTTTCCCATGCTGAATTATTTTGTTGTGATTTTGTACAGAATTTTTAATGACTTTTTATAACGTGAATTTCCTATTTTAAACCATGCAGCTTCATCAATTTTTATACATATTGGAAAGGTAGAATTATATCTAATTTATACAAAATGATTTAACTAATTTAAACCAGCAGAAAAGTGCTTAGAGAAGTTATGTTGCCTTAGCACTTCTTTCCTTTTCAAATAGATGAAGAAGAAAAAAAATGCACAATCCGGGCAATTTCTTTCCCATGCAAGTCTCTTCTTTTTTCTTTCTTTATTTCTTTTTCCTTTTCCCCATACAATAAGAACCAGATCCCCTAGGTCTTGAGAAGATATAAGAACGATAGACTTATTTTCTATCAGAACATATCAATTCAACACATTACTTGCACAAACTTGTATATAAAGATTATAAGCAAATGCCAACACCCTTTTTAAATCGAAAGCTGCTTGACTATCACATACAATTTGCACTGTTTCTTTTTAGTCTTTGAACCCCTTGGCATTCCGTGGTTTTGGTTGTTGTTTTTTTTTCTTTTCTTTTTTTTTTTTTTCTGTTGGGTTTTTTTTCAAGATAACTTGAAGATGTTAATGTTTCCAGGCGATATAAATGCATGATTTTATACATGTTCACACAATCCGTGGTTGTCATATGCTCATTTTATAAATCGGAACCGAAATCTAATCAGGTTGTTAAAGTCGGGCTATATACCTATTGTAGTCGATTAGTACGGTAGCTTGAAACAAATTCAAACCATTTAATCCGTAATTAGAACAATAGCTATTGCATGTACAATGCAGTCCAGAATAAGTGCTGTTTGAAATGTAACGCTGGTTCAACTGGAATCAATCTGTACTGTAATTTTGTTTGTAATCCTGTATATTATGGTGTAATGCACACTGGGATTTTAGAAAAACATCCATCCTTTGGAAACAACATAGTATTGAACATTTGGTCGAATGTTGCATTTCTCCTTAAATGTGATTTATTTTTTTTCTTAGTGTAAGTAATTCCTATGGGATTATTGTTTTATTCGGATAGCTCATGAAAGGTGCAACACTTATTATTTGTAGAATAAAATTGGACTAAAAAAAAGGACACGGATTCTTTACTTACCTTGAGGAGTACCAGGGGAAGGGGGCGGGTGGTGTTGGTTTGTTTACAGCGAACCCTGCTATTTGCAATGCTGATTTGTTGAATTAGGGAAACGAAGGCAGAGACGCGGTTCGCCAGAGAGTTGGAGCTGCGGCTGCCGGCGCGGGATGCGCCGAGCGCCCCGCACCCTCCCGGGCGGCCCCCGGCCAGCTCTGCCCGGCCACTGCCGCCTTCGGGGCTCCCCTCTCGGGCTCCCAACCCGCCCCGAACCGCGGGAGCTCCCGCGCCTGGCCAGGACCGGCACACCGGGAACGCGGCTGCGGCCCCGGCTCGGCGGCAGCAGGTGCGCCTTCCCCTGCAAGGCAGACCTGGATCCAGTGCCATCGATTCACCGTCCCCTCCTCTTCCCAAAAGGGAAACGTGTTTCTTTAATCTACGCTGATTATTCCGAGGCTTAAGAAACCCGGAGACACAATCTGCGGGAGAGCAATTCCTCTAATGATCACGAACAATTATCAACAGGTCTTTGCCTCGGACCATCAAATTTAAGACGTTACCTGAAATACTTTATGTGAAGCCTACCACAAAGCGGAGGTATTTCACAAATATTTCATTTAAATCCAGCAGAAAGTGAACAGGCATCCTGACGGGAACATCCTCGTCCCCTATGGACGAAGGATTTTTTTTGTCCCCTGGAGAAATCAAGCTATTGACGTCTATTTCGAAGGTGTTTATAGCTACGGAAATCCAACGCGTAAGCATAGCGAACCTGTCCTAGCGGTGCAACACACCCCTCTGCCAGGCTTCCCTGCTAAAAGCACACTAAAAACTAATTGCGATGCCGAGTGATGCATTTTGCAGCATCTCCCTGCATTTCGCCTGAGCCTGCAGCTCTAAAACTGTTGCTGAATCTGAAAAGAAAGCAAAAGGCAACTTTTCAAGCACCCGATTAACCTTTCTCAGTTAGTGGCAACAGAGCTAAATGTACCCTAGATAACCCGAGGGGGAGTAAATGAATGTCAATTTTTCAGATAAAATTGAAAAAGCTGACCCAGGCCTGCTCGCCTTTTGGTTATGCACCTTCTTCTTAAACATAAGGATTCTTCTAGTCAGTCAAGGGGCAACTCGCATGCCACCATCTTTTATTCAAAGGCAGGCACAGATGTTCCTTCTGCAGGGGAGGTTTTAATTTATGAAAATGATATTGTTTATGCATGAATGCACTCTGCATAACACACAGTACTTCCATCTGATGAGAGAAATACCACAGAACCAGTGCCAATGTCAGGAACATATTCTGCAAATTTAGTCGCTTAAATGTTTAATGAATATTTGGAAGGCATTTCCAAACCACAAGAAACCTTTTCAATTACCTTTTCTTTTTCCACTGTTAATAACAAAATTCAACTCCTCTAGCCAATGCAACTTACTTAAAAGATCTACCTAGGCTATCTGAATGTTTGCTACTGTGATATTTTAGAAAAAGCAATATTTTAATGTTATGAACAACCTAATAAAGAAAATTAATTAGGCATTTTGGTAACTAGAGGCTCCGTTTTACAAATCACTTGTGAGTCTTGTTATTTCAATTAGTTTTGGGTGCTTTTTTTCTCCCACTGCCCCTATAAAATATTGGAGATCTTTCCTCTTTCCCCGCTTTACTGATGCTTCTGATGTCTCCATGATATTTCTTTCATACTATTAACATCAAGCCAAGTCTTGAAATTTCTGCTCATGACTCCCACAGGAAGGTCTATCAAGGTCTCTTTTAATGGAAAGAATTACTCACACTGTTCCTCTCCTATAAACATATCACTAATTAACTAAGGCTATAGTGGGATTATCTGACTTCCGCATGCAGAGAAAACTCTGGGGTTGAGTTGTACCCACCCACACCCACACTCACACACTGGATCATCTGACACAGGCCTGAAACTGTATTTTTGTTGTGACCGATGGCCCTTCCCTTCTTTACAACATACCTCCTACAGCAGAAATTGCTCTGCCACCAGTGCATGCTTGAGGAGACCTCAGTGAAATCTCTGCAGGTACAGTACATAAGTAAGTCACGACTTGCAGCTTTTCCCTTGGTGTTCTGAAGCAACAGAAGAGGGTCTGGAGTTTGTGGACCCCTTGTTGCCTGTGATACAGCTGAGGCCTCAGCTATGGCAGCTGAAGTTCAAATGGTGGAATCCCAGGTTACATCCACAAGAACTCAGAGAGTGAAGTCTCAGGTTTCACATAGCCCAAATGAGAAATGTGCCTGAAAAACATCAGATTTGGTTCACTGGCTTCAGAAGTGAAGGAAAGTAGATTCAAGGAGAACCAAGATTCCTGAATTCAATAGAAGAAAACGGAGCGCTGCTTTCTCCAGAAGATACTGTTCTAGATTTTTAATAAACTGATAGTAGAAAGCAACATGCAATTCCAGAGCTAATAGGGATTAGTGGAAATAATTCTAAACTAAGTTTTGAGAGCAGGTGAAACAAATATTTTCTATCTACTGTAACAGTAAAAATTCTTGCAATTATTTCAATATTGTACCTGATCAATCCACCATGATCTTAACAATTGCTTTTGACATATCAAAAATGAGTCTCTTTTAAAATAGGATACAATACTTCTGTTCAAAGAACCATTTTGTCAAATAGTTTTAGAAATTGCAAAGTTAATTTCCATTCTATTTTTTTATATTTAAAGTATGCAAAGAGAAAAACAATCAAACAAAATCCATTCATTCCTATTGAGGAAGAACTCACAGAAATGAAACTTGGAGTTCTGCCTGGTGCTGTAGCAGGGAAAATATGTAGACATTTGTCTTTGTTTTTATTAACCAGAATGGGAAGTATGGTAATTTTAGAAATTACAAGTGGTCTACACTCTTTCCTTAACTGAAAATCCCATGATCCAAAAGTCCTGAAAAATATAGTACATAAATAAATGTTGAGACATCGAGTTGAAGATCTACAAATAGACTGTTATTTAAATATGTACATAAGTGTTTTTTTAAATAATTCATATATGTATTTAACAAACTGTCAGGAGCTATGCAATACAAAATTAAAACTGACAATGCTCTCAAAGCATTCTCTTAAGTATTTAGGTTGCCTACAGGGTATGTAAAACATAGAATATCAGTCCTAGTTTTCAGTTTCCTAGCTTGTAATAGTTTGCAGTATAGAGTTAACTGCATTCTGTACGAAATAGAAGCAACTAAGATTTACACATTTACACTCATTTTGGTGACAGAGCAACAGAAAAACGATTCAGAGAAAAAAATTATTGCCTCGAAGAGATAGCATATCGACCTTAATGCAAACAAAAGACAGTGTCCTCTGATCAAGACATTCTTATTTTATATTCTTCCCATTACCACATTTTTCTCCGATTAAGATCAATATCCATTCAAGGGGTCTCAGGAATTACTTCAATTTCAGACTGCATTTCTGCAGCTTCTTATGCCTGCATAATAATTTCCCTTGTTATTCTTGCAAATATTTGTCCATTTCCTTATCTGCTTTTATTTCTCTTGTTTTTAATGCTTTCCCTCTTTTGAGAATAGAGAAAGATGTACAGTAATAGTGATTCTCTCTTCTAGAGACCATTGATGCCATTTTCCTTCAGAATAATTTATGACT